GTAATAATAGGAATAAAATGAAGTTGATTTAATCCAATATTTTGAATAGTAAGATTATCTAATGAATTACACATGTTAATAGCTGTTACAATTTCTCGAGGATCATTAAAATGAATGAATGCAACTACACGACCGTCTTCAGTTGGTGAACGAATTTCAATAAATGGTTCAGAAGTAAAATCATTTCGAGACGTAAAAAGTGATCTGAGATTATTCAAAGCTTTTTCATTTTCATTAGTTATTATTCCAGATCGATTTGAAAAATAGTTTTCCGATAATTTCTTACGAAATACTATTACATAAGTCATAGAATCACTAATACGATTTTGATTAAGTTCTCGATTTAGGAAATTTTCATCAACAAGAGTTGGTAATCGATAGAGTTTTATACGAAATTCATCTTGTTGTATTTCATTTCTTTTTGTTGTTTGTTTCATTTGTCGTTTTTCTTGAATTATAAGACTTAATTTTCCTGAACCGGCTGAAATTTTCATATTGTTAATGTCATTGACAGCTGTTCGCATTTCTTGTTCATCAGTGAATTGAATATAGGCTATAACATGACCATCATGAAGAATTGGTTCAATAAAAATCGATTCCGATTGAAACGATGAATATTTATTGAATAGATGACGAAGAAAAGCTTCAGTTTCAAAAGGCGCTGTCTCTATAACATTTTTGCGAGTTCGAAGTATTATTACATGAGTACAACCGATGAAAATTGTTTTTAAATTAACTTCATCAAGATCTCGAGGAATATTTCGAACGTATAGCGAAGTGTTTGACCTCCGACTTGGTTCAAATCGAAATGGATGATCATATATATTTTCTATTGCCTAGAAATTATTAAGAATTGCATCAAAATTTCAAATATTTCTTTTTACTAAAGCAGTAAAATGATTCTCTTTTTCTAGTTGTATGAACAAATACATCCTTTTTTTTTTCATTATTCACATCATTGTATTGATGAGTTCAAAACTTTCGAATATTTTGGCGAAGTATACTTGTTAATATGAGTATTAACCTATATAATAAAAATCTGAAAAGCTACGTTTTTTAGTTCAATTTCCGAAACATCAAGTAGGAGAATGAAGATGAGAGTTGTGAAAATTTCAAATAACAAACCTGTTGAGCTTGTTCAACAGTGTCAAAATCGACAATCGCACGCCCATGATGAGGTTTTAATGGCCAAGAACATTTAATTATTGGATTGATAGGATTCATTTCAAATTGACAGTTAAAATGATGTCGTTTCGTAAACAACTGATAGGCTTGTTTTGCTGCTTCAAGATTGTTAAACACTACACGACCATTACATTCAGATTCAGTCATATACCATTGAGCTTTCAACGTGTAATTCGGCTTTTTTGTATTGACTATCGTACGTATATAGCTAGGACTTGCATGCAATTGATATCCATTCCATTTTTCATGTGACAATTGAGCAACAGCCGTTCGAGCTTGACTACATTCCATGTAAGTAACAGAAGCTGAAGTGTTATTATGATTTGTTCGAATTATTGTTACATTTCGAACTATAATATCAAAAATAGAGAAGAGATTATGTAATTCAATTAAAATACAAATTCATTTATACTTTACCCTGCCCGTATAATTCACACTTTTCTTGAATTTGTTCTTCAGTTATAGTTTTCGGTAAATTTGTGAGCAAAATTTTTACATATTCATCATCTACCAATACTAATCGAGGTTCAGCACCTGCACCGAGTAAGATTATAGTTGAACCAATAATTTCGAATTCTTGTAATTCATTATGTAATTTATCTCGTTCTCTATTTAAAATCTCTTGAAGATATTGTTGAGCATTAGCAAGTTTATCTGTACGACCCCAAATAGTTAGTTTTGATTGTACATGATCTACTTCAAATAAAACATGTAATTGTTCTTCAAGTAGTGGTACTTTTCGACATCTTTTTCCAACAAGCGAAAGTAAAAGTGTTGGACCAAGATTAACAAATGTATAACCTTCGAATACACATTGTGAAGGTGAACGTTGTAACGAATTGAGCCAAGATTTATCAAGCCAATCAAGCTCAACTGGACAAATTACAGTTAGAAAATTAGTTTCGTTAATATTAATTATTTCATGATAGAGAATAAATTTTGGTGGTTGTTGTGCAAAGATAACTGTCGATGATCGATGTATATGTGCGACTGTATCTATAGTGTCAACGGCTAATTGATATCCAGCACGAATAGGACCATTTGAAATAGCTAAGTTTTGAAAGAATCCTGCACATATACAATCTACGATGCGTTTGACTAATTCATCATTTAATTTAGTAAAATGAATTTTAAATGTAGGATCAATTTGATATGCTAATTCTCGAACGACATTATTTGCCATCTTCATTGATTTCCAGCTTATCATATGCTTAAGACACCAAGCTTTTCTACGTTCTTTATTGTCACCTAGAGCATACCATTCGAGAAAAATACGTAATAAAATTATATAATCACCACCAATATCCGTATCTTGAATGAATGAAGCTCGTATTTCATCACTTAATTGTTTCGATTGATCATCTCTGCTACGCCACCATATATTCTGTACTACACTCAACATGCCAGCAAGAGCAAGTATATGATTGAGACAATCGAGTTGTTGTCCCATTAAAATCATAACCGAAAGCATGGGTTCAAGGCCGAGTTTGGCTATATTACGACCCAAATTAGTCAATTTGCCGGTTTTCAAATCTAGTGCACCTAACCATGTTAAACATTTGACAGTCTCTTGAAGACTATTATCTGATGGTGGTTCTAACCAGTCGAATTTTGTAATATCATCGACTATATCAAGATATTTTAATTTAAGTACAGCTATACTCGGTTGAATACAAAGAATTTCTGCTCGAGAATAAACTTCCAATGATTGATAAGTATCATATGCATAAAGATGATAACACTAAAAAGTAATAAACAACTTATAGAACTAATCACTAAATTATAGAATTTACCTTTCCAGCTGATGTTCGTCCAGCTCTACCACGTCGTTGTTTGATTGAACTCTGTGTTGTATAGCCAATTTTGAGTACTCGTATATGACGTTTTGAATCCCACATGACTTCTTTAACCATACCTGAATCTATAACATGTCGAATTCCATCAATGGTTAGCGATGTTTCAGCAACATTAGTCGAAAAGATAATTTTACGTCGTTCATTGTTGGTCATTGGCATGAATACGAGTTTTACATCATCTTCACTTAATTTACCATGTAATGGTAATACAAGAGCTGATTCAGGTGGATCGATTTTTCTGGTTACTTCATCGATGGCTCGATCAATTTCATCTTGACCGGTAAGAAAAACAAGTATATTTCCAGGAACTCGACTAGCATGAATTTCAAGAACTTTGTTTATTGCCTCGTCAAGATGATTTTCAGTATCTTCCATAGCATAAATATCTTCGATGGGAAATGTTCGACCAGGAACTTCGATCACACATCCCTCATCGTAATATTTACTTAATAATTTATCATCGAGAGTCGCCGACATGATGACTAACTATACAAATCGATTGTGTTCAGTGTATTATATTAAACAATTTTAACTCATCAAAATGAATTCTTCCATTTAACCTCTGAAATTCATTAATGAATTTGTCTCCTCAGGATTTGGATTAAATCAATGCATGAGTGTTGAATTTTGAAACTTCAACCATATATCTATGCATTAATTTTAAGTTTCGAAATGAACTAATGATTTGACTCACTCCAATTCAATCTATATTTTTGACGAAAACTACAGGTCGCTCGATGATTTATGAAATTCTTATTATCAGTTCTTCGTTATATGTTTTAGAATGATTAGAAACTAAGAAGTATTATAATGATAAAGAATATATGAGTTACCTTGATATTCCAACGCCTATATAAGCACAATTTCATGGCACCAATGAGTAAATCAGTATCAACGCGTCTCTCATGAGCTTCATCAATGATAACTAAACTATAGGAATTTAACATTGGATCTATCTTATATTCATTCAATAGAACAGCATCAGTAACAAAACGAATTTGAGTTCGATCTGAAATTTTTGGACGAGAAGCACCGACATGATAACCAACCTAGATATAAATTATCATTTAAACAAGCTTTCATAATTCCTTAGTCAAAGTCTTACCTCTTCACCCACTTCACATCCGAATTCTTTTGCTACACGAGAAGCCAGTTCTCGTGCAGCTAAACGTCGCGGTTGAGTGCAGACAATTTGTCCTAATTAGAAACAAAATTTATCATAGAAATTCTAATATAATTTTATTAGACAAACCATGATCAGCAAATCCCGCATCGACTAGATATTGAATTAATTGACTACTTTTTCCCGAACCAGTGTCAGCTTTAAGTATAATTACACGATTTGATTTGATTGTATCAATCAATTGTCGACGTCGTGCATAGATAGGTAAACGAGCTTTAAGACGTTCGATTTCTCGTTTCAATCTTTTATGAAAACATTTAGATTCTTCTAATGTTGATGGATTAACCATAGATAATTCAGAAATATTTTGTTCAAATGTTTCTAATTGATATTTCAATTCTTGGAGATATGTCTGTTTTAAAAATTTCATATCATGATCATCTTCATCAAGATCTTCAAGTAATGCAAGTTCTTTGACAATAAGAGATTGATGTTGTGAAGATACTTCAGGTATATTTTTCTACAAAGAAAATATTTGAAATAAAAGTTGAAATCAACAATTTAATCTAAACGAAATGTATGTTATAATTTCCATCACAAAGATTTTACATACGTTAAATAGAACTTGAATTTCATTTTTCATGTGTTCCAATAGAATTGACGAAAGTGATGTGTCCTGACTATACTTGTTTTTATTTGGGACTTCGGATTTTGAATCCAAAACTTTATAATTATTATATCGTTTTTCCCATGACTTTTTCGATGTTTTCAATTCATTTGGCTGTTGATTGTTCTGAAACTTATTTTGTTGATGATATTGATCACAACTACTATTGTATATTTCTGGATGGACATCTGAACAAATAGAAATTTCATTTCGTAGAGCTGTGTAATAAGGAAGATTTTGAGTGGTAGAATATTGACAATGTGATGGTAATAAATTAGCTTTTTGATCATCATATTTACATTGAGAATTATCATACGAAGGGGTCGGCCATTGTGTACTATGATAATCAGATTCGTATGGACAAAAACTAGATGAGTTGTGATACCCTTGTTCAGGATGAATGTACGAGCAATTTGCACGTTGCGTACATGTCGATCCAAATTTGCAGTATTTTGGTCTGTTTATTGCTGTAGCCATCGTTGAAATTGTAAGCTTAAAGAAAAAAAACGTGCTTATTCTCTTACATTTCGGAAGTAAATAGAATGAGAGAAAAAAACAGAACAGAATGAAAAATGTTAGGTGATTCATTGGGAATTCTTCCATAGTGGGAAAATTTTCTTCGAGTCTTATTCAAAGAGAAATTGAAGTAATGACACATTTCACTGAAGATTTTTGACGAAAGTTATTCAGTGAACATTCTAACACATGTAATTATCAGAGAATTATGAGCTATGATGAAACACACCGGTTATAAGACTTTTCTCATGATTCGGAGTGTTTTGTTCAAGAGAAAAAAAAATTGTGAACTAACACCTTAAGGTACTTCTTGGTGTATTATGAAAAAATTATCTCATCACAAGTCGACATCGTCCTATAAAATGCTGATTTCTTGCACCATTAAATGCACAATTAAATTCTGAAAAAAATGCGGCTTTTGTTCTCTTAAACAGTTGAAAATTTTAGGCTATTGTAAATCCATCGAAAGTAATAGCTCATATTTATCCAGAATAAGCTTTTTTCGGTATTTAGATATATTCAATCTTGAAATTTTTTCTCCCAAATATCTGTTCTGATACTTTGAAAGTCATACTGAAAGATGCAGAATTTTTTGTAGTCTATTGTAGCATGTTTCAAATTTCAGAAGATCTGTTTCTAAGTATTCTATAATTTTTTCGAATTTTTAATTTTTGCATTTGTACAATGGAGATGTTAATCTAACTAATTTTGCTCTAGTACAAAAAAATCTATTCGAAAAATCAAGCCGACAGTTTTATAGAAAAACAAAATTTAAAATAATTGTTAAATGCTTCAAAGATAGAAAATAGAATCGGACCATTTATACTGGATCATTCGTTGTTTTTTTCTCTCAGGTAAAAATTTTACAATTTTTCAAAAGAATTTTTTATTGAATTCTATTATGAGGGTAATGTTTCGTAAAAATTTTGGCTTTCGAGGAAATTTTTTATTTTAGCAGCAGGCGCGCCTAACAAAACATTTATAGAATGATATGCCAAAAGCATGTGTGTTTGAATGTGAATCAATGTATCTTTTGGTGTTTTATATTCATGACAGTCATGTGTTATTCAACATAAATGTGTGATATATAGAATCATTTACAATACAATAAACAACTTGTCTGAAAAAGTTTCATATTGGCTTTCATTGAAATGTTATATCAATTCAGTTCCTGTTGCCTATGAAAAATCTGGCTCGAAAAGTGAACTGCATGAAATACATTCAATCGATTGTTAAAATTAACAAACTTTCATGAATTTAATCTTCCTCGGACAAAAAAAACAAAATATACTACAAGATGCAACGTATTAAGTAATGAAAAAATAAGATAGAAAAAGGTACTTTTTTTGTCCGATGGAGAATAAAGGTAGTTCTCTTTCACTTTCATTAAATGTGTATTTTCAGATGAGTCACATGAAAACAGAAAGTAAAACAAAAGCGATACCTTGACTTCATGCATTAGTAACTCGAATATTTATTTACACATATGTGATAATGGAATTGATGATGATAGTTGCAAAGTGCAGTAATAATAAGAGTATCACCCTTTTTATTGCCGCACACTTTGACACACGTTTGTATTTTTATCGTTGTTTCCCGTAATTTGCATTTTTTTTTTGAAAAACTGTTTCAAACTAGATCAATTGAAACATTTACATCGAAAGTAAGAATATTAAAATAATCTATTTGTCTCAACAACGTTTGTTACGTGAAATTTAATTGAGATTGGATTAATCAACGCTTGCCCAATGAAAGCAGTTAGATATCAGTGTAAACATTTCGTTGAATACGAAACCGATTCCCTATTACGCTTTGTTTACAGAGATCTCTCTCTCTCTCTAACGAAGCTTTGATATAAAACGAGTTTCCTTTCTGATTGATCCAATGATTTATCATGAGAATATGAAGGATAGAGAGAGTATGAAACAAGAATAGAAAACAAAGAGAGAGGAAGAAGAAGAAGAATAGTGAATATACTTCTACTTTGCTCTTAACTATTAGAATAGTGAAGATGACGTCAGATATCTTCTTGCCAACTGCACTTAAATTTAGAACAGCAGGAGAGACTGAGTGTTTATTGAAATTTGCATGGAAGAAAAGAAAAGGAGAAAAGAGGAAAAAGAGAGAGAGAGAGTGAAGGGAAAGAAAAGAAAAAAAGATTGACTTATATATTTACAAGAGTAGATACACATACATACACAACAAAGATGAATGTTGTTAGAGTGCTTTCTAGCAGTTTTCATCTGTGCTACAAATCTTTGAACTCAAATTAGAGTTAATTGAAACTTTATATTAAGAATGATACCTTTACTTTACTTTTCTGTCGAGTAATTTAAGTAAAGGGCAAATCCATAGAACGCGTGCCATACTTTTGAACAAAAAATTTCTACCCACTTTTAATATCTGATGACTATGGGGACAGTAAACTCGCATTAGTACTGACGATAGTGAATCCGTGCCTGGTCACTTAGTTATTTAAGTAAAATGAAGGTGAAGTCATGGATAAAACCGATCTAGGTTACTCATCACTGTTGTGAACCGGCCAGTAACCGGCACCGGTTCCCAGGCAGACAAACTTTTGAGAAAACGCGTTTAAACGCATAGAAATCAGCCTAAAACTCACAAAAAGTGGACGTTTTTGGCTCACACTTGAGGTTCCCGACTGTGAGCCAAAAACGCCCGTTTTTCTTTCTTTTTGTGCGTTTAAACGCGTTTTCAGGCAAAAAAACGCGTTTTCAGACAAAAAACGCATTTACACGTATACAAAAAAAGAGAAAAAAGTTGTTGTGTTTTTCGAGCTCAAGAAACGTCACTGTAATCATGATTGTGCACGTCGAGTATAAAAACACGACCACTTTTTCTCTTTTTTGTATGCGTGTAAACGCGTTTTTTATCTGAAAACGCGTTTTTTTGCCTGAAAACGCGTTTAAACGCACAAAAAGAAAGAAAAACGGGCGTTTTTGGCTCACAGTCGGGAACCTCAAGTGTGAGCCAAAAACGTCCACTTTTTGTGAGTTTTAGGCTAATTTCTGTGCGTTTAAACGCGTTTTCTCAAAAGTTTGTCTGCTTGGGTTCTATCTATACGTGAAATGCTATTCATGGTTTCTATTGTATAGAACTTTTCGAAAAAAACATAAAGAAGTACGGAAAATAAGCTTCGATAGTTTGACTCTACTTCAATCTACGCAGTTTCTTATTTGTTACGCTTCACTTTTTACTTTTGATTCATCCCTATTTATTGACTGATCAAATGTTAGCATTTTTATTCGAACAATCTAGATATTTCAGAAATGTTTTGGACTATCTTAATTTCGTCGATCACAATATTAATCATTGCAATATATTTTTACATCAAATGGAAATATTATACGCTACGTGATTCAATACCTGGTTTAAAACCTGAATTTTTATTTGGTAATCTTCGTCAACTCGGCATTATTGGTCCAAATAGAGAATTAATCGAAACCTACATTCATGGTTGTGAGAAAATGCAACGAAAATTTGGAGATATATTTCAATATTGGATAGGTCCACATTATTTTTATGTATTTTGTCGAGTCGAACATGCCGAACAAATTTATGCAGATCGTTCTCGATTCGATCATGTAGAAGTGTGTCTAAGAACAGTTGGATTAATAGCAGAAAATTTTATTATTTCATTTATAGGTCCAAAATACAAACGACATGCTAAAGCAATTTTGCCTATATTAAAAAAGAATAAATTTCTATCACAAATACCCATTATCATTAATTGCGTAAAGATGACATTATATGAACATGTCTAGTGAATGATAATCAACATTTAATGTTAGATACATTTACACTTCTAACGTTTGATTATGATTTGGGCAATTTAAAATATTTAGCTAGAGAAGCAACACGATGTAATCCAGACGAAAAATATAAACCATCCGATTTCAGTCTCGCATTATCAATTTGGCTCGATGCATTG